GCTTTGATTATATTAAGGCTATGAGTTGCATTTAAGGGCGTGGCTGGTCTGACTGACAGGTGGACGCGTTGTCCCTGTTTGTCAGGAAATTAAAGGCCCGCCTCATCTCCACCTCTTTGCCTTCTGCTAGATTGACCAAAAATTATTCTGAGATAGCATTTCCAATATTGCTGGACTACTTTACGCCTCTCCAGAGACATGTGGGTGACATCACTGACACCATGTTTTAAACTGTCTACAGGTTGCGACCTTTGTCACCTTTTAGAAAGTAGTCCTGTATCCAGGAACATATTTCATTGTACTAATTATTGCATCAGAAAAGCTTTATGGAAATGGTCAAAACTCAATAGATTGTCCAAAAAAAGGTTTTACCTGCATGCAAGGTGTTTTTTTAAGGTTGAGGATTATTGGGATATGGAAACACTTTTGCTAAAAAAAAACAATTGAGATTAGTGAGCATTGGATTCACTTTACTGACTAGTTGACCTCATTTCATGAACATGCATGAATATTTGCTGACATGAAATCACAATTTAAACCAGAAAGAAAGACATAAGACTTTCTCCTTTATATCCAGCAGAGAGGTGAGGTGGTCAAAGTGATTTGACTGTTTTCCAATGATTAATGCAGGACTAAAGCTATGCCTAAAGTGAAACCTTTACCTCCAACTTGTGTTGAAATCACACTTTGCAATACGGTTTATTTACTTGAAACTAACTGACAGACACTCATGTCATCTAATATATTCTGTGACACTCTGAAAGTTGACTTAAAATGAGCTTGTCAATTGAACCGTGACACAACAACTGTGTCTGCACAACCAAAACAACTTTCTCAGATGTCGTCGCTGTCAGGCCCATGAGTGACAACATTTAAATGATTGCATTGAAAACATCCACTTTCCAGAGAAAACAAAAACAAGTCATTTCCTGCGTTCGGTCGAGATCCTCGGCACGCTCTCCTCCTCCTCCTGATTAATAGCCGACATGTCGTGCTGAGCAGCCCTGCTCTGCCTCGGCTGGAGGTTCACACCGAGAAGCAGGCGGTGTCTGACAGCGGTGAGCTATGTGCTGCTCTGCCCGGCGGGAAGTAATGAATCGGTGTGTCTGCCCGGACTGAAGTGTAGACAGCAGGAGGAACAAAAGTGATCAGTCTTTCAGAGTGAGGGAGCGCTTGTCCGGCTCGATAGCAGCGGAGAGACGGCGCATGAAAGGGAAGGGCAAGACGGAGGTGAGAAGGAGTCGAAAAGTGTCGGAACGAGTTGTTAAAATAAGGAGCAGAGAGAGAGACATGAAAGCAGAGAAGGGTTTTGTAGCTATAGACAGAAGAAAAAAAAAAGACAGACATTGAAAGGTTAGACGGCTCGGTGTCACCCAGACCGTGTTAACATTCCTGGAGAAATTTGCTCCCCCCCTCCAACGCTCCTTGAACCTCCACAGAGGGGGTTCATTATTCTCACTTTACTCCTCCACTAATTATCGTTATCATTATGAGGGATAATTACCATTTCACTTCCTAACACCCATGTAGGCTGCTCAGCTCTGACTCACACACGAGGTTATCAATAGCTGCTCAATTGCAGCCTCATCTGCCTAATTATACGATTTGGCCTCTGTGATCGCTGAATAGGATGTGAAATCTGGTATTATTGGTGAGAAGCAGACAGTCAGCAGAAAGCCGTGAAATAAACCTGTGTGTGTGTGTGTGTGTGTGTGTGTGTGTGTGTGTGTGTGTGTGTGTGTGTGTGTGTGGAGTCTTGTTAATTAGAGATGTGGCTTTCTGTTGAGTAGGAATCAAAAGGAACGCAGGGTCATGAAACAACTGGAAGTCTCTTAAATATCCTGCAAGCTGGAACAGAGCTGCACACCCAGTGAGAGTTAAATCCAATCCTGAGAGAGGAAACGTTAGATCCTCTCCCTTTTGATTTCCTTCAATCTATTAACTTTCAACTCGTTTCTATATTTAAACCCAAATCCATGATTCCCTATTAACTTAAATGACATTTGATCCAAATTTGAAATATTGCTGCATACCTTTTTTTCAAATTCGGTTTTCACATTTGGTTTGACTTTGGTGTGATAATATCATCAGATGGGGCGCTGGTGGGGTGGTGGGGCAGTGGTTAGTGCGCGCGCCCCATGTGTGGAGGCTATGCTCCTCCAAGCGGGCGGCCCTGGTTCAACTCCAGCTTGTGGCTCCCTTCCCGCATGTCATTCCCCACTCTCTCTCTTCCTGATTTCCGACTCTATCCACTGTCCTGTCTCTCAATTAAAGGCACAAGAGGCCCAAAAATAAATCTTATAACAAATCACATATCACATAAACGTTGCAAATAATGTGATAAATTCCGAGAAGAAATCATCAGAATAATCACACCAAAGCTGTTTACACCCAAAGTTTGGATTTTTAATGGTTTTGGGTGTCATCCACTGCTGTCTATTTTCTGCTGCCAGTTTGTTGTGCAGTCATTTCTGTAGTGTAAAGAGGAGACTTGAGTTCATTAACAGCCTTTAATAACGCTTAAGAGCCACTGTTTAGAGAAGACAAGATAACATAATATACTGAAGATGAGATAAGAGCGGCTTTATTGATCCCCACAGGGGAAATTCACTTGTTACTGTACTGCACTTTTTTTCCACAGAAGTTTTTGCACAGCAGGATTGCAATTGGCTTTAATTAGATATCAGTGGGAGTAAAATTAATAATGTAATGAAAAATATGGAGTATCCTTGCTAACTGCTAACTATAGCTGTTTAAAGTCATGGATCAAGGTTTCAGCAGCAAGTTTATCTTCACTCATGTTTTTGTAGATGCTCGGAGAAACGTGCAATTCAACTGTTTCAAGCACATTTTTTCAGCAAGCTCGTACAGAACTGGGCTCATGGCAAGAGTTGGCGAAACTTTAAATCCACTCTCTTTGATGTGAGCACTCATTATAACCTGTAATACCTGTCATTTCTTTAAGACATTTTAAGTGATAATCTGAGTTTAGAGCCTCTGTTAGATTTTTAACACCAGGAATTCAAATAACCTACACTAGCAAAACCAATTCACTTCAGTTCATATCTCGGCATTAATGAAGAGCTGCCGCTGTGAACAATGCGACTCATGCTAAGCTCACTTGCTGTGTTTGTGAAGGGGGGGGGGGTTCTAAATCCCTCTGTGGCATTTTGGAGTCACAGCTGACGCCTCGAACCTGACGAATGCTCCCTCCATCTGCTGCAGCTCAACACGAGATAAGTACAGGACTGACAGAGGTCTCGTCAGCAGGAGAAATTTATGATACGCGTCCTCTGTTGGAGCAGAGAGAAGCCGAGCCGAGACGGAGAGGAGGGCATGAGTACAGAGGGTGGAGAGGACGAGGGACAGAGGGTGACAGTATGGACGCTTCAGTGGGCGTGTGACGGACAGTCAGGTCAGAGGAATGTGTGGCACAGAGGACCTCATGACAGACAGGAAGCACATTTTTCTTTGACCCCAATTACCAGAGGTGTTCCTCTCCACCAGTTAATCCTGGGGATGTAGGGTGGCCTCTACTCTGCACCATGGAGATTTACTTTTCCAGCTTGTTGTTTTCCCTTAAAGTCATACGGATGATGACACATTTCTGCTGACCTTAGGAATCTCTCCAAACCTTTACGCACAGATCGCATCAATGCTGCTCAGCAGACTTTAAGCAAATGGCTTTAAAAAGATATCTGCTTATGAATGCAGAGTGTGTGCAGGAATCTTTTAGTGCCAGGTGTTTTTTTCTTTTTTTGGTCTCGGTTTGAAGTCTGAATAGTGTTGACCAATCATGTCTCAGTATACATTGAGAGCAAATAACGTACATTTTTCATTTTTATATGCCCTTATAAAAAAGATCCTGATACCTACTGTAGGCTCAGGGATTGGTTGATACAGAGTACATTTTCAACAGGACAGGGAACTTTTTGGTGTCTCACGATTCAATTCGATTTTCATTCTTGGGGTCAAGATTCAATTGAGGATCTCTTTTCGATTCAAAACAATTCTGGATTCATGATTCATGATTCAAAGTCTAGTTTTAAATACTTCAGGATCTACTCCAGTCATCTGCGAGACTAGCCAAATTTCTTGCTGCTCCATTTGGCATTCTTCTGAGTTACAGAGCTAGCCTTAGCACTTAGCAGGCAGTGGATGATTAGCCATTTCTGTTTTGATTTTTGGAAGTAATTAATCCATTTAAAATCTCAGAAGATAAGAATCTCGATTTTTACATCAATTGATCTTTTCCCCACCTTTAATTTTAGGGTTAGGGTTAGAAAAAACACAAAACATGCTAATGGGGAAAAAACAGTGCGACTTCCATACACGTAATGACTTCAGGATCTACTCCAGTCATCTGTGAGACACGTCATGAAACTGCTTTATTGTGTTGTGATCAGTTCTTCTCCTCTCTATTGTTGATGGACACATAGCTTTGATACAAAAGACAGAAATTCTCATCGCAGCATCGGACTCTGTTTCTTTGTCTGTCACCTTTTGGTTTGTTCTTTTAACATCATCTTCATCTTCTTCATCGTCTTTACTCCTGAGACTCCTCTCAGGGTAACCCTAGAAACTTTCAGGAGTGCATGTGTGATAATATGAAATGAAGGATACAGATAAAGTTGTCCATTAAAACTTAAGGGAGTCAAGGTGACATCTCAGCATTACAAGACAAAGAAATGTAAAAAGAAGAAAAATAAATAAATGGGGAAAATGACTAGAAACCAGTTTCCTTTATGTGTGTAATTTGTCTATTTTTTTTAAGTATTCAGCTAGGCATCAGTTGTTGGTTGGACAAAAATGTGAAGTTTTTTCCCCTCAGTCTCTGGGAATTTTTGGGTGTTCATTTCACAATTTTCTCACTTTTGCCAGAGCTAACAGTAATCCTTGAAATGTTTGTGTTACTCGAGTGGTTTCCTCTTAGCCGCAGAGACATTTTCTTTTTGTCATGAGATTATCTGACCTCCGTCTCTCCTCACTTCTTTCCACAGAGACGCTCATGGACTCGACTACAGCCACCGCGGAGCTCGGCTGGACGGTCTACCCCGTGTCAGGGTCCAGTGACAACAGCGTAAGTGGCCTGCTCTCCTATAATCTACTCCTGATAATTGGAATTTAATTGAATTATTACTTAAGTAAAACCATAATTGGAAGTCATTTCCCGACCTTTTTTAGTTCAGACAAAGATGAGGTGTGTGGCGACCCTCGCTTTTGTTGGATGTAAAAAGTGCAGCTAATGTGTAAATTTGCTCAGCCGCCTGTGAAGCTTTATTTCGGTCTGTGTTTTGGTTTCACACTTTAAGGTCAAGGATCAACTCGGGAGCCCGGACTGCCCCCCCGAGTGAGCTAAACCCCCTGCAAAAAAAACCCCAACTGTAGAGATAGATGGAACCAATTAGAAGACAATAAAAGGATTGTTCAGTATATCCACATCATAAAAAAGATGTTTTAAGAAGAAAACTTTTTTTTGCTTGAAGACCCAGAGGTGCAGACAACTCCACAAAAAATATAACCAAGTTCCACCTACTCTAATTTTCTTTTACGTTAAATAAATGATCATTTAAGAAAAACATTTATCTTGCTCTAAACTCTCTGGTTCAAGGTAAACAGTCACAAAGGAAACTCTAAACACTTAAACCTAACTGTGATTGTTCACATGCCAGGCTAGATGCTACGTGTTATATGGGCCCTGTCGGTGTTTGATGCACGGTCTTTCCACAGGGTTTGCCAGGGCATCGGTTCCTCCCAGCCACATGTGAGCCAGGCCCACTTAGAGCCAGCCAAAACCAGAGTCTCAGTCTACTCCACGTTTTTTTTTTCCCCCACCACAAGATTTAGGCTCCTTAGAACGAGTCCAAAATAGAGAAAAAATGTTGTAGACTTATTTGCTGGTGCATTTCAAAAACCACTGCCGATTTTATTCAATTATTTATGCTCCTGTGGTTTGTATTAAAGATGGTTTGAATTATACTCTATCATGCTGTGTCTCCTTGCGCTAAAAAGAAGCATCAAAAAAAAAAAAAAAAAAAGAAGCTGGCCTTCAACCGCTCCATGATACAACTTCAAAGATGTTCAGCGATAATTTAGGACAACCTCATCTTTCCCAACCTGAGGGCACGGCGTCTCCTCCCCGCTTAGTCCTACAATCAATAGCAACGCTGAAGACGTCTGGTTTCCTTTTTCTCTCGCCAGCTCTGGATCCAATCAGCACAGACAGAGCTTACGCACACATGCTGACTCCAAAGACGGTTTACATCACATCTCCCTTTCATCTCTGCAAAATGTTCGATTCAGCATCCACTCAGCCCATTTTTCAGATCAGATTTAATACTTGTTGGAAACTTCAGAAAAGTTGAACGCTAAGGTCATTGTTGCAAACAGTTTTGTGGAGGGAATAGCTCTCTCTGGCAAAAAAAACAGAACTGAAATGAAATTAAAATCTAAACATCAAACTAAAGAGCCCTAAGCTCTTCAAGAGTCATCTTTGTTTCAGTAACATGTGGTGCACCGCCTGATCCAAAGGCACTTCTCTCCTCCAAATCAAATTTCTCTTCATTTGATTTGACTGAAAGGGCTCTGAGAGGACTTTTTGAATGTTTCTTTGCCCCCAAAGCATCAAAATGGCATTTTGTTTTTTGTGTTGACAGCCTGCTTTTTTTATTCTTATGAATACTTTGTCTTACTGGCGGATTTCACAGGATAAGTTTGCGCAGCGTTCCATCTCCGCCGTGGTTTTGCTCCGTCTGACGGCGTGCACCCTTTTCCCAGTGGGTCTGTTTCTGAAGTGTAAGCACAGACATGAGCAGCACAGATTGATGAGATCACAGGAAAAACTTCAAGATCAGGCAGGAACGCTGAGAACAACGTGCAAACAACAGGATTCTTTGCCTTTCCAGGGTTGATTTGCAGTTCATCTGCCGCCTAATTTTGTTAAAACGAGGGGATATACGCTCGGCTGTCTGTACATTGTGTCTCATTTTGAAACCGATCAGATGCTCTATGCGTTGCCTTGTCTGACGTCCTGACCGGGTCGATCCGCTCAGTACAGCTTGATCCATGTTTGCAGCGAGCTCTGGCGAAAAGTGGCGCAGCTGAATCCTCCTCCAGACTTTCCCCAGAAACCCGTCCTTACCTAAACCGAACAAAGTATTAAAAGTTGCCAGAGGTTGTTCGACACTGAGACTTTCCCACTGTGAGGTACATGTGTGAAGGGCTATTCTGTGAAATACCAGATCCTGAATGTCCTGAAATGATCCAGAAAATATCAGGATTCATGTGTGAAAAGGCCTGAACAGGATTTTAACCCCAAAAGGTCAAAGTTTGACTTTGCTGTGATATCAGGAAAAATCTGGCAATATTTCCCATCCCATTTTATGAACACAATATCTCAGGAACATCTGGACTGATTTATTATATTTTTTTTTTAAATTGGGCACCAACGTTGACTTTGAAACAGAGATGACCTGATTAGATTTTGATGGTCAGCAGCAGTCAAACGACGAGGTCACCGGACCTCACATATGTTAAGCTATTTTGAAAGCAACGTCTCTGACTGACTGCAGAGGATTTGA